GATGTACACTCGATGAATGTTAATCGACAACTGTATCATCCTATTGTCAATCAACTTCGTCGCGAATGCCGGTCAACTTTGACTTTTTGTATCTTAGGAAGCACTGCTCATAACTGAACTTTTTTTTCTTTAATAAGAAATGTTTTGGAGAGTTTTTTCTAACGTCGTGACTTAAATTTAATTTAAGCCAATAATTACCAAAATTCTATTTGTTTATAAGCCAAAAAATTATTTATACCTTTAAAACATTCCTGAGGCCGTTCAAATGATCGTATTTCAATTCCATAAAGTAGGTTACATAGGTTATATGCGTTTTAATACGTGAAAAAATTGGAAAACTCCTATATTGTCTAGTTGTTGTTTTGCAAAATTAAAAAAAAAATTAAAAATTAGATTACAAAATTATTATGCGAAATCTGTTACACGATTTTAATGAAATTTGGGGGAGTGTTTTATTATGTTATGAAGATTTTCTGTGCAAAATATTAAGATCCCAAGTGTAATTTCAGTAGTTGGAAAACATTAAATACGAAAAGGTTCATTTCCTCCTCTTTTTGTGTATTTATTGCTATTTTGCAGCAAGGGTATCAAATTAAAATATTTTTAACTAGCCATACCGTGTAGAAAATTGAATTGTCGGTATTTTATTTTATAACGACTACTCCAAAATGGTCAATTATTATTATTTAAGTTATCACCTAACTATTTATGCAAAAATCCGAATGCTACCTCTGATATCCAAATTTAGTCGTTTTTTCACAGGTCCTCCCTGGTCTACTAAACAATTCGATAAATTTAAGAAATCAAGCGTATGATTATTTTCACTTATTATTTGCTGGAGTATAATTATATCTTATTTAACTAACCATTTATCAACTTTTTAGATAACAAATGAGCTTACCTCAAATAAGGAAATATACACGACATATATAACTCAGAATGCACACTTCAACATTATTTTCCCTTCTACTTTATATTTTTCTAATAACCTTAAGTAATCACCTTCTGTTGCAATAAGCCACTGCAATGACTACGAACACGCCTCAATGACAAAAAAACAGATGGGTATAAATGAAACAAGGACGCGAAAGCTGAGCACAGAGGTCACGTCCCAATAGACATGATCTCAATGGTCTAGCACCTAGCTGAAGATAAGGACAAAATTTTTTATTCTCCACCCGGACAGCGAGACTCCGATCTAGATCGATGGCTCGCTGTCAGAAATATACGTAGAGAACAAAAGTCCCACTTCTGCTGACCTCTTTAGAGCAGCGTCGTCGAAAGTGTGAAGTGCCATGTTGGTTGCCGACCTTCTTAGAGGAGATGGTACGTGAAGAAGAAGACAAAAGTCCCAAGTGAAGTCAATCAATTTGAGTAACCCAAAGCGAGTAAAGTTGTTTAAGCTACCCCTTAAACTAGGTCTAACTACATAAAGTAATGGAAGGTAGCTTATTACCCAGTGCAAATTAATTAAAAAATTTGTACAGCGTCTGCTTTCATTAAATCCCTGCTAATGAGAGGGGTGGAGAATAGCTTGGGGGTCAGATAGATACCACTTCAATGGAATGTGACCGGTTTGATATTTAGACATGTGGGTTTCTCTACTCATCGGAACTCACACATATCTCGGTAGGAGATAGGCTGTACGGTTATGTACGTGTAACAAAATATTACGTGATTTGATTATTAATAAAAAAAATTTATCATACTTACAGACTACAAGCCCATGGGAGTTCAAGCACATGGGTCATTTCACCCAACATGAATCACATATAAATAAATACTACAATGTAACAACTTTAGAAACTATGCCACCAATACTTATTGGTACTCAAAGCATGGGGGTACAAATTAAGAGTTGTGCCTTAAATTTTTTCACCCCTGTCCCAGCCGAAATGTATGACGTTGCAAAAAAATTAATTTATATACCCATCCGAAACTTTGTGTATGATTACAGTACTGTGAAATTACCGAAAATCAAGAAAAAATTTTCCGAATAAAAAAAAATTCGCTGCTCCTGGTATAAATAATTTTTTACGATATAAGGTCCCTGGTCATTATTTTTGAATTACTTACCTAAATTATAAATGGACGGCTATTTTCAGGAAGGAACTCATTCACAAAAATAAGATTTATTATATTTTATACTATTATAGCATTCTTATTGTAGTACAATCACAATTGTAAACAAATCATATCAGTTTACTCAGAAAGTTGCCTGCAGACGGGATCCAAGTGATTTGGTTCCTTTCTGCAAAACAACTTAACAGTCACAGCTGGTAACATTAAATTTCGGCAAAAAAGAGTAAATTAATTTCATCAAAAAGGGTTAATTCAGCACTGTTAAAACTAAGATCAAACAGTTTAACAGACAAAAGTGACAAGCACAAGAGGGAAAAATAAGACAGAATAACGAAGAAAATAAGTAGTTATCAAACAAATAAACAATATACCAAATACAAAAGTAATTAGCGCAGATCCCAAAGTTCTGAAGCTGAATTATTTCTACCTCTAGAAATGACTTTGATGTACAGGGAATATAAAGAATCAAATGAAAATCAAGTTAATTTTCATATATACAGACGTTTAGTTTTAACCAAATTTAATTTAAAATTTGAAATATTAAGAAAGGATGCCAGCAATACATGCGACACCTATCACAGTAGAATCCAAAATGCCTTTTCTGCTAACGAAAAATAAAAACTCAAGGAGGAGCACGACAATAATATAAAAAATTGTCAAAGGTTTAAAAACCAGATGAATAATCATACTAAACTGGCTAAAGATAATGAAACAATAGAGTGTCTAATATTTAATTTAGAAAAAATACTAGACAAATTTGGTTGTATAATTTAGGCATTTTCTCTGGTTCCACCAACAAAGGTCATTTTTACGTCTGGATGAAAAACGAGGCATGACGCAGAGCCCAAGAAATTGGTTCATGCTTAATAAAGCATGTTAAAAAAAATGTATCTGACAATGTAACTGAATTAATCTTACGGTAGGATTCTTGATCTTTTCTAGAAATTTAAAGTGTAAAATTAAAGTATTTCAGTAGATACGTGAGTGATATCTACTGATTTTTTTTGGAACTGCTGAGTTGGAAAAACAAATAATAAATAGAAAAGTCGATATAAAAAATATTAAAATTTACTGTTTGCAGACCCGTGAAATATTTCTTAATAAAAAAATCATTTTCCATTGTTTTGAGAACAAACTTTGAGAGTGACAATATTTATGCTAAAATAGATATTAGAAAAAAACAAGTGGGCCGACCAGCATTAGTTAAAATCTAGTACTATAGCCTATTCCACGAATATACGACTGTTTTGATTTACTGCGACAACGAATATTTTACTGTGCAAGTAGAAGTATGAAGGTCAATTGGTCTAATCATTATTCCAATAAAAAGGGTCTACTAGTATGACATCTAAACTAAAATTATTTCAGTTAAAATCTACAAATAAATACAATGACATCTATGAAGCCAAATGTGTTCATCGGACATTTGGGTAAGCTTTCCGTGAAATGTAAACACCAAAGAGGCGTGCCGGGTTTCTTTGATATAACACATTTCATTACTTTATTAGGTATTACAGCTGTAATAAAAAGAAATATACTATTTTAATATAAATAAAAAGAAATTGGCAGAACGATGGTTCACAAACCAGAAAAAGGATCTAATATTTCACTTTCTTAGTGATTATGGCTGTAAATCTGATCGTTGATGACAGTTTTAGAAGATTAAGAGAATAAGTGAATAAGTAAGTTTTTTTGTTCTTTTAATATTAATTGAATATTCGACTAAAAAAATTACACTATTTGATCACTTAAGTATTGTTATAATTCGTTTAAATCACATAATTCAAAAACCAACTTGTTTACAATGAAATAATTGAAATGAAAAAATAAAATCCATGATAGTTGAATTATATACTTCAAAATCTGAATTACAACTGTTTTATAAACTATTAACTTTATATTTATATCATGACTTCATATTTATATCTAAGGTTTATATCTGTCGTAATAGTATTTTAAAAATGGGGAGAATTTACTATTGTACAATTCAGTACATTGGACCATTTTAATCGACACCTTAAAGCAAATTTACAACAGTCGTATATTCGTGGAATGGAGTATACCTATGTGGCTCAATGGAAAAACAAATATCAAACCCAAAACTAGTAGACATAAAATCGATGACGTCGGTTTTATCATTTGATTTCGAATCATTGCAAAACTTTTATTCAAATATTACCGGTACAGACATTATAGACGAGGTAGATGGCTTCAATGGTGTGACAGATTTTGAAATGGAATCGTCAGAAATTTAATTATTGGTAATATTGTTTTGTTCTCTGTAGGCAATAAAGTATCTTTAAGCAGAATCTGATAATTTTTATTTTGCATAAAAGAACCAACCCACATAATACTATTAATTTTCATATTAGTGCATACTTTTTTAATTTGTTAATAATTATATTAAATTTACATTTTTAAAACCTATGTATGTTTTAAGTTTATACTATTTTTGATCTGAACTAAATTTTTTATTACCATCAGTGCTTTAACATCAATTTACCCAAGAATACGATTTTGGGGTTGGTTCCTTTCTACAAAAAGTCTCGTCGAAATGTCGTACAAATATGTTTGGTCAAAAAGTCCCTTAAGCTTTGAGTGGTAAGTTTATCTTACCGGTGACTCACCTGTACCGATAAGAATTAACCGTATAGTTTTTAAAGTTTTATTACATATTGTAGTATTGTTTTGTATGTGATTCATGCTGGATCAAATGACCCATTAAATATCTCCCATGCGCTTGTGGATTATTATGTTTTTCCTTAATGTACTAAATCAATTTAATGTTAATGTTAATGTACTAAATTAACTGTAAAACCGTAAATCCGGGTGTAACAATTACCCTTTAAAGTTAAAGCTTAATTATTAGAAAAACAACTAATATTAGAATATGAAAATTAAAAGGTTTTTTCAATTACCAATAAGTCACCCATAGGTCTCCTGCATTAGATGCTGCTTGGGCCAAAAAGAATAAAAATACCATGAAACAAAATCCAAACCAACTGGTCCCGAAGCGGAAGTATTTGCCATAGGTTGAAAAGGGAATCGATCCTTCGCAAGTTTCTTCATTATTTTCTTTGGGACCTTCTTCATTTTGTGTTAAAACCTAAAAATAAATAAAAAAATTTAATTTATAATCCAGATATTTTGCTACATCTTCTTAACTACGTAGGAAATAATAGTGAAATGATTAAGAAATTCATCATATTTTCGTAGTCATTTTACCTGTTTTATTTCGTCCGTTTGTGACTGTTTTAAAGATACATCCTTTTTATCGTCTTCAGTCTCTTCTTCTTGTAATGACTTTAGGTAATTTTCGGACAGTTCGTCAAAGGTCCCCATTTTCTTTATTTTTCCCTAGAAATATTGTTGAATTAGTTGATCATTCAAATACACAATTAAAATTTTTATTTATTTGTTAGTTCTTGTCTTGGCCAGTGTTTCAATTTGTGTCATAATGGTGGCTGTTATGCTGCTGGGAAATATATATGCTTTCAATAAATACAACTTTACGATACAAATGTATATTGAAATAAGATAAAGAAATATAAAACTCAATTCAAAAGAAATTAGCTGCTAAAATGAGGTTATAAAAAAATTCGAATTAAACATCATAAATCCTCGACATCCTTCTAATACACTCGTCAGAGATTTGACCTTTAAAACTCATACAAACAAACTGAATTTTGCTGAGAATGTCAATTTTAAGAACTCAAGAAGTTTCATATTTCATTTTTCGGTTATCTATGTCTACCTCTCATATCTCATCTTATGAGAGTAATAACTAACAGGTTAACATCGAAGCTCGATAGCTACCAACCAGTAGAACAGATGAGAAATGAAAATACAAATAGATGCAAAAACCAAAGCTATACCAATCAACAGAGCAGTTCACCATGGAGATGTTATATAACCAAAGCTATTCGCTATTGGACTGAAAGACTTGTTCAAAGACATTAACTGGGCAGATAAAGGAATACATGTTAATGCAAGTAAACTGGATCATTTGAGATATGCTGATGACATTGTAGCATTTTCTACAAATTTCGAAAAACTACAGACTATGATAACGCAACTATTTTAAGCTTTGGAAAAAGTAGGTCTTAAGATGAACTTGAAAAAAAAACAAAATAATGTCAAACACACCGAACATTAGAGCAATAATGTTAAACGACATAAATTTAGAAACAGTAAGCGAATACATCTATCTGGGACAGATAATGGAAGTTGACAAAGACAATCAAACTGCCAAAAAAACCAGACGAATAAGATTAGCGTGGACAGGATTTGGAAAACTGAGTTGGACCTTACAAAGTACGAAAATAGAACAATATTTGCAAACCAGAATTTATGATTAGTGTATCCTCCCTATATCCACGAATGGTTCACAGACGTGGACACTCACTAAGTCTAATATGGGGGAAATAGTAAAGGCACAAAGATCAATGGAAAGATCAATGCTTGGGGTGAGACTTATAGACAAAAAAACAAACAAAAAGATTAAAAGCAAAACCAAAGTAAAAGACGAAGAAGAACATGCTGCCAAATTAAAATGGGGCTTCAGATGACACAATGCCCGATTGAAGGATAAAATATGGAACCACGAAATACAACAATGGAGACCATCGTTAGGTAAGAGACGCAGAGGACGACCACAAATAAGATAGGCTGATGACGTTAAGATAATCAAGGACACAACTGGAAGCAAGTAGTGCAAAACAGAAAACACTGGATTTGGGGGAGGCCTATGTAAAAAATTGGATTACTTAAGGCCGAAGAAAAAGATCTATCTACCCTATAGTTTACTAATTGTATTTATATATTTTTTAACCCTGGAATGCTACTTGGTAGTACGCTTGTGCTCCAATCTTGTTTGAAAGTTATGCCAATCTGCAGTTTAGGCGTGATATTAATAAGGCGATGAGCATTTTGATTAGTTGAGATATTTGAGGTCCAAGGTATATGTGTATCCCAGTGTAGCAAAATAATTTTTGTTCGGACAGGTACCTACGTTTAATTTTTTGCTAAACTATTGAAATTATTCATGATAATCTTGTACACAATGTTATTTTTACATATATCTTTTTTTTAGAACAAGCAAGAAATGGCATCTCACAAAAACTGTTTTGACCTGACAAATTCCAATGACATTGCTGAAATACATCATATACTTTACGATTATGATTCCGATTGTTTTTATGGCGAGACTGGCGAGGTAGATATTATTATACCAAATATTAGGTGAACTAAGAGCAGGAAGAGATATCTAAATATGGTTATACTCAAACAAATTCAGTCATCGGAGGAAGATGCGGAAGATAATATGCCATTGGCACAGACACAGCTTGTAAACCAAAACAAGGTCAAAATTTTGAAAGTTCATACCTCACTAAAAACACTTAATAACACAAAAAAAGTAACACTCAATATATAACAATCAATGCCAAGACACCTACTTCCTATACTACAGACAGAAATAATGCAGAAATGCAGGCTCTGTTTAAATTATTCTATTATTATAAAGTAACGAAGATGATGGTATTTACCAAAGAACTTATTGATCAGGGCACTTATGGATATGAGAAATTCGAAGAAGTGTCTAGAACATTCGATAAAGTAAAATAGAAAATTGAACAGATAGAGAGCATGATAATCAATACAAAACTGCTACCATCAATTAATGCAGTAGTTTTAGATCCAGTATTGAAAGAAGAATCACCTAGAGAGAAAACGAGAGATTATATGAGATTCAAATTGCCACCATTTGATAAAAATGTTTCTTGGTCCATATACTTTAGACAATTTAAAGCTATTGCGACAGTCAATAATTGGACAGCATAAGAAAAAGCTGTTTTCTTGACTGCTGCTTTATGAAGTAATGCTGCGGATATCCTAAGATCAATTATTAAGGGTCAAGAAAAATGTTACCAGACCTTGTTTACTCGACTAGACAAATGTTATGGATATGCTCATCTACAACAAATCTACGAAGTAAAAATAAGAAGTGGAATTCAACGAGCAAGTGAGAATTTGCAAGAATTTGAAGCAGATGTTGCTTGTATAGCGCGGTTCGCTTATCCGAAAGTACCAGACAACATTTTGGAAGACATTGCTGTAGATACCTTCGTTAATGGGTTAAGAGAGAGTGAACTACAGAAAGCTTTACGACTAGCAAGACCGAAAGTTTTAGATTAAGCGCTCGCCATTGTCTTGGAACACGAAAACGCTAGTTGAGCTTCACAGAGCTATCGAGTACGAACCTCTGAAGAGAGTGACGTCTGGTGGAAATCGTATGGAAAGTAGTTCGTAACACAATTTCGAAGAGACGCGAAACCACATGTTGAAATGGTGGCGACATAGGTCACATTCGTCATAAATTGAAAGCAAATAATACAACATGTCCAGCGTATTCCCAAATGGGAATACGCTGGACATGTAGCTAGGAGCGATCTAAACAAATGGCACAGATCAATTTTAACTTGGAGACCATACCAACACAAAAGACCCAGAGGCAGACCTCCTATGAGATGGACAGATGATCTGAAAAGGACTGCCGGGAAAAATTGGCTACAAGTAGCGTACAATAAAAACCAATGGAAAGGAAGACTTGAAGAGGCTTATGTTCAGATGTGGACGTGAATGGCTAGACGAAGAAGAAGAAGAATACAACAGTCAGAAAGCTAGAAGAGATCGAACACCGGGCTAGAAAAAGTCATTCAAATGCTAATGCTCAGTTGGAAAGTAGTTCGTAACACGATGCCGAAGAGACGCGAAACCACATGTTGGAATGGTGGCGGCATAGGTCACATTCGTCATAAATTAAAAGCAAATAATACAACAGTCAGAAAGCTAGAAGAGATCGAATACCGGGCTGGAAAAAGTCATTCAAATGCTAATGCTCAGTTAAAACTGCTATACAGTGTAAATAGTAATCACTGTCTTAAATTAGGAGAACAACTTTGCGCCGTGAGACGAACTACCGTCATTAATACTCTATGGCAACCTCAACAGCTACAAGACGCCCAAGCAGATGATCCATGTAAAAATTAAAAAGTATTGGATTTATATGCATCGAAGTGATAGACCTACTTGGCAAGACATTAATTGGCAAGACGGCAAGTCTTACTGGAGCCAATGGAATTGCCTAGTGCTAAAAGATGATCTTCTGTATAGAACCTTTGAGAACGAAGACGGTACATAATCTAAGCTTCAGTTGATTGTAATTAAAAGTAAAGTGTAAGCATTGTGCTGATTTTAATATGTTTGAAATATCTTCACTAGTAATTGTTAATTTTTGTATTGTGCAATTAATATTCCGGCAAATTACAAGTGCAATAATGAAAAGACACTTGTTTTAAAAAAGTTGTGTAAAAAATATCTGTACATATTTGTATTTTTGACAAATAATAAACAAACAAAACAAAAGGCGGGGACATACTTGCATTTTTTAGGTAAGTATACAATAAAAAATTTTAAAAATTTAGTAAATTATTTTTTAATTTTTTTAAAAAGTAAGACGGAGGGTCCTTGTAACGTCAAATATAAATACAAAATGGTCAAAAACAAATGGAGTCTTAAATTACATTTTTGGTGCATTTTTTGCTAGTAAAAATTTGTCTAGATTTTTTATAACAACGATGGTATAGTTATAACTGTGAATATATGGATGTTAATCTCTTGGGTTGGCTCGAACAACATTCTTCTTTCACTCCTGAAAAAGCTACCCTACAAAGGTAGCGAAACTTCCTCAAAAAAGACAGGGCCCAAAGTCGGAAAACCATTAATTAAAATTACTATTAATATTTTTCAATGGTTTTGAAGTTATAAGTAATAAAAACACAAAAAAGTGTTTTTAATTCGATCTTTCTCTTATTTATTCGCAAATTTTTCTCTATTATCAAACAATAATATAAAAAAATCTATACTATTTTTGGATATATTTAATCAGATGTGTGTCTGACTGCCTGGTGTAACTAACCTACCTTTTCAAAAACAATAATCACATCAGCGTCTTTTAAAAATTGCAACTGATGTGTCACCAAAATCCTGGTTTTACTGCCCAAAAATCCTTTAATACATTTTTCAAAAAGATGTTTACCAACACGAGTATCAACCGCAGACAAAGGATCGTCTAGTAGGTAAATATCAGCGCTAGTGTACACAGCTCTTGCTAAGTTTAATCTTGCTCTTTGACCACCACTCAGGGAAACCCCTCGTTCTTCTACAATGGTTTTGTCGCCGAAAGGAAACTGCTGGAAGTCGGTTTCTAGAGCACATACTTGAACGACTTCTTCGTATCTGGAATCAGAAATGTGTACTGAATTTAGAAGGAGTGTATTTAGGCGCCGCCTAACCTGGTCAACTGTTCAAATGTACAATAATAAATTATTTATTAATAGAAATTATTTAATTTAAAATTGTGATTTTTACGTTTTGACTTAACAAATGTTTAAAATAAAAAACTATTTTTTTTTTAATTTTCTTCGAAGCTACTTATTTTACGCACCTCGTAGTAGTAAAAGGCACATTAAATTTTTGCCTGAAAATGAAATACGATGTATGTCTCTCTGTCTTACATTTAGGTATAAGCAGCACATCTAACAAGCTGTTAATTGTAAATATTTTATTTTATAAGGCGACTGATCGGGTCACCTTCGAAGAGTTTCAGAAAGTTTCGTTGCAATCATAACTAACACTTCTACTCTCTTATTAATAAACACGGACTAACCTTGGAATTACATTAGTCCCAGGACTACACCAATAACATTCATTTTTCGTATTAATAAACAGCGACTAAGGACAGACTAAGCTAAACCTTGGCTAGTCTCGGACTAACATTGAATCCGAGGTAGTGGCAGGTTTAGAGATTGACTAACTTGACAATTGACATTGAGTTGAGTTTCGTTTTGGTATTCATAACCTGAATTGTTTCTGATTATTCATACATTATTTAATAATGGAAGATTATTTTATCAACGACTTAAGATTAATAGAACAACTTAATGACCATAGAAATCAGTGAAATAATATTCATCTAAGACATATTAAAATATATAAAATTTATTTAATAAAATATTTTTTCGCAAATCGCCAGGAAATTTTGACATTCCTGTCAAAATTTCTTGAAGAAAAAGTCAGGACTTCCTTACTGTAAGGAAATGTCATTTCCTTACTGTAAGGAAATGATATTTCCGTACAGTTGTTAGTGTTCTACATAAATGATAAACACATTGCTTATAAGGAATTAATTTATATTTTGAAAACATCAAGTCATTGCTGAATACATTTTTAAGATCAATTTGTTATATTTACAGTAATTTGACAGTTAGTACAATTATTGAACATTGGAGGAACACTCTTAGAGCTATGAGAAACATTTTGGACAACATGCAGGGTGGAAGTGTCATTTTGTTGAATATTTTGTACTGTGAAAATGTTATTTGCCACCTCAACCTTATTGTTAAGCGATTCTTCGATATATCCTTCAGCAACGTTTGATGACTTCCATCCGCCATGCCTCTTTAAACTAGTTATGTCGGGACCAGAGTCAACCAATATTGTTGCAGAAGACCGACGAAAGCAGTGACCAGTATATTCTGTCGGATTTACCAAGTTTAAATAAGTAGCAATTATTTTGGGCATTTTTCTAAATTAATGAATTCCTACCACTTGTCTACAACCCTTTCCGCTTTGATATTTAAAGAAAAATCGGTCACTGTTCATATTTTCTGGTCTTAACGTAACATACTTTCGATAAACATTCAAGTAGATCTGGTTAATTACAAATGATCTTGGTTTGTTGGTTTTCGAATCAGGTATGCTGATTAAGTTCGACGGCAACACAAAAATAGAAATATTATCGAATATCGTGAAATTAATAAACGCATAAAAAGAAAAATTAAGCAAGCCAAAGAATCCTGGCTTGAGAATTTATGTAAAGAAATAGAAGACCTCCAAAAAAAGCATGACAGCTTCAACCTGCATAAGAAACTTAAATATACTGCCGGAATTAGAAAACAGAAAAATGCTCACATACTTAAAAGCGCGGACGGAAAAATTTGTGATCACGAACAACAGTGCAAAGAATGGGAGAGATACATCACTGACCTTTTTGACGATGCTTCTAGGGAAAATGCTCCAAATACTGCCTATGACAACCAGTTGGACAGAGGTCCCAATATACTGAATTCGGAAGTCGAAAAGGCAATACAGCAAGCCAAAAACAATAAAGCACCTGGACCAGATCAAATCCCTGCCGAACTACTTAAACTTTTGGATGAGGAAAGCATTGCCTGCTTAACCACTTTCTTCAACAAAATTTACAACGAAGGAAAAATACCAGATGATTGGTTAGAGTCACTGTTTATAACATTACCAAAGAAAAGCAGGCCCACCAAATGCAGCGATTTTAGACTAATCAGTTTGATGAGTCACACACTGAAGATACTCTTACGAATTATACAAAACCGAGTATTCCTTCTATGCGAAAGTAAGATGGGTGATAAGCAATTTGGATTTAGAAACGGTCTAGGAACTAGAGAGGCACTATTCTGTATGCGCGTTCTATTACAAAAAAGTTGTGAATTCCGAAAGAATGTTTATGTTTGTTTCATCGACTTCGAGAAGGCGTTTGACAGAGTCCAACACAATACACTTTTCGACTGCCTACGGGCAGCAGGACTTGACCACTATGATATAAGACTGCTAAAATACTTATATTACAATCAAGTAGCCTCTATCCAAATTGGAGACAGTCCCACTGAAAAAATACCCATCAAACGTGGAGTACGGCAGGGTTATGTTTTGTCACCCACTCTTTTTAATCTGTACTCTAAAGAAATCTTTAGGGAGGCTTTGGATGACAGACAAGAGGGAGTAAGACTAGGTGGAGAAGTAATCAACAATATTAGATACGCTGACGATACAGCCATTCTTGCAGAAAGTTTACAAGATCTCCAAACATTACTTAATCTAGTCAGTGAAGCAAGTTATCGGAGAGGCCTAAAAATCAACATTTCAAAGACAAAGTGGATGGCAGTTGGAAAGATCCCTATAGATCAAGGTCTGCTTTCTCTTAATGGAGAAGAGATAGAAAGGGTAAATCATTTCAAATGCCTTGGCAGCTGGTTAAATGTAAATTGTGACTCTGATAAAGAGATAATATCCAGGATCGAAATATCACGTAAGGCTTTTATGACCTGGAAACCAGTTTTATGCAACAGAAACCTGTCAATGAACATTCGTAAGAAGGTCCTGAAATGTTATGTGTGGTCGATCCTATTGTATGGTTGTGAGACATGGACGTTAAAAACCAAAATGCTAAACAAGTTAGAAGCATTCGAAATGTGGTGCTTTAGACGAATCCTAAAGATATCGTGGGTTTCGCACACTTCCAATGAAGATGTTCTTCAAATGATCAACTCAGAACGTCTGCTAATAAACATCATAAAGAGGAGAAAAACAGAATACTTCGGCCATATAATTAGAGGACCCAAATACCATTTACTTCGCCTTATAATACAAGGAAAAGTGGAAGGAAAGAGATGGATTGGTCGAAAGAAACTTTCATGGCTGCGTAATATTAGACAATGGTGTGGTTTCACAGTAGAAGAATTATTTCGCGCAGCAGCCGACAGAGAAAGGTTTCAGGAAATTGTAAGCATGATGACGGCCAACGTCTGAATACGGACACGGTACCCAAAGAAGAAGAAGATGCTGATTAAAAGTTTAGATTCTAAGTCTTCTATAACGTGTACAGTCATTCGGACTAACTCATCCATTCTACAGGCCCCAGAAATACCAAATATTACAGCCACCTAAAAAATAAATAAAGCTATAAGCTTAATCTAAATAGAAATTAAAACCTTGTAAATTACCTTAATCATTAAATTTTCTTTATCTGGAGCTTCCTGGATAAATTTTTCAATTTCTTCCTTCGTTAAAATCTTAGATTTCTTTGCCCTATAACCTTGAGCTTGCCGTTTCAATAAACAACGAAGTTTTGAGTATGTAGATATATCTACATTGTGTTTAAGTGCAAGGGTTGACTTCAGCATTGAATAATTGGCCCATAATGTTGAAGATTTCATCTTTAAACAAAGGTCTAGGAAGTATGCCATTACAACATTTTCTGAGAAAGAACTCGTATTTTTACTCATGCGATAATCCATAAAACGTCTGTATGCATTTTCGTACTTTTCTCTTGATTTCTTTGGCATTAATTCTAATGAAGCAGTATTCACTGCCTCAACCAGCTCTGGAGGAGTCCCAGGAATGGAAATTTCATCATCACTTATCATTTTACTTTCGAGAACACCAGCAATTAAATTTATAAGCGTCAAGTTTGACAATTTAACGTCAATACGTTTCCATAGTAACCCAAGTAATTTTATTAGGAATTTCAAAGCACCATTTATTTGGGAATAAAATTATCGCGTTTTTTTTAAATCAATCAATATCTGTCGAATTTTAAACGATTTGCGGAAAAATAGTATGTTTACCTCGTAGGAAAAGCCACATTCCTGGACTCTGTGTTGCTAAGTCTCGGCTTGCGCCTCGACTTAGCAATCTTCACAGTCGTCCAGGAATGTTAAGCTTTTCCTACCCGGTAAACAATGTACTATTACAATTCATTATGTTTATTAGTATTTTTTATATTTTTCCTTTATAATAAAATATTATTTTTTTAAGTTTCCTCCTAAACTTTTATGAAGTTTAAACTTTTTATACAGTCCAACTAAAATTAATTCTACGTGCTCCAACTTATGCTAACTGTCAAATTCTCAAATATTTTTTTTCTTTTTCACAAAATTCTCTCCATTTTTCTTCTTTTTCGCAATGGTTGCCAACATAAACTTGTTGTACCTAGGACTAAAGAAGGTTTAGTTAGTCTGAGCTTAGTCCATGTTTATTACTAACATTCTGAAAATGAAGTTAGTACTCGCTTAATCTGGGACTAACCAGTCCGAGACTAACTTCGGACTAACCAATTTATATTAATAAGACTGCTACTACAGTTCTAAACAAGGTTAAAGGGCACGGTTCGTAGATTTACCAGCCCATTTATTATCACAGTTTGTTCGTGGTAATTATCTTTCAGTTTATTGTTTTACTATTTATCATTATGTCTATTGAGGTTATCTAAACTATGTATACTGTTCTGTTCTGTCAAAAGAATATTAAATTTATTTAAATGTATATTTCTTTGTTTTTTATATGAATTTTTATATACCATATATGTAAACTAAAAATAATTTGATTAAAATAAGAATTTGATATCACATCGAAAAGCAAATCTTCAATACTCACAATATCTTGTTCAACAAAAAATAAATTAGACCTATGATATTGTAACCTTTCGCGGATCATGGACAAACTGGCTCTGTGTAGAATGTTTTCAACCTTCTGCTTGAATATGCTGGACGTAACTTCAAGCCCTTTGGTATTAGGTTTTTATCTCTACATCTTCGTAAAAATTTAATTGAATTTTGACAATGTGCCATTTTCTTATATAGAATTTCCAATCTACGAAAATTTTGAATAACGCTGGGCCCATAACGGTTTCTTACTATTGTTCTGAAGCTTTGACATTTTAAAGAAATTGCTATTTAAATGAGAATAAGCCATAATTAAAGGTTAAAGTACGTTTATTGACGTTTGAATTTCCACTTCGGAAATCGTTTTCAAAATACAAACATTAGTAAATTTATTATTTATCGTCTCTTAAATATCTTAGTTTACTTAACATTTTTGTATTTGAAAATTTAGTGTTGTTTTCTGTAAAAACTTATTTTTAATTATCGAAGAAAAGTTATTGATTGTAGCTGTACATCGTATCTATTGTAGAGGTCCTTACATAAGAATATCTTTTTAAGGTAGGTTAAAACTTTAAAATTTTATTGTCTATTAACGTAATAATAATGTTGATAAAATTTTAGAATGCCAGGCACAGGTTGTAGTGTGCCGACTTGTTAAAATAATTTTTATAAAAACAAGAAGTCTGGCGATTCTGATCAACAAATAGCATGTTTCACGTTTCCCAAAAATACAAAATTAAAAAAAATATGGGTTATGCGCTTTTGCAGAAAAGATAAAATAAATATAAAAACTGCTAGAGTATGTAGTAATCATGTCAAATACGATTTTGTGGATGACATGTATGCTCGAATAATGTAATAGGCCTAAGTTGAAATTAAAGGATAGAGGTAAGTGTTGTTGACTTTATTAATTCTGTTTATTATCATCACTATTTTGTAGCAATTCCGAGTAAAAACTTAAAATTTCAAGATGTTTAAAAACTAACAGAATGTGGGCCTACAGCAAGATGAAGAGATAAAAGAGTAGCAATGAAAACACAACCATCTATCATTGCAGACTTATTAGAAAAATATTAAAAAAATAAAAAAAAAATATATGTAGTGTATATTTATATCTACTGGAAATAGAATAACCTATGTAGTTACGTTTTTTACCAATTAAAAATTATTACATATTATTTAAATTCTTACATTCAATTATACAAATAATTTCTAACTCGGATAATCCTAGCTGATCTCTAAGGGCCGGTAATTCATACAATTAATAGTTAATCCAGTATTTATAATTCAGTATGCGACACTTGAAGTCCTAGATTTACGTAAATCTAGAACTTTATTCTGATTGATTTTAAGTATCAAACTCCCTACATATCAACACTTTTCCATAATTAAGTATTATAATAAACTAAACATCTATATTTCATAACAATCTTTACTATTTTCTATACATCAAAGACATGAAAACGCCGATTAACAGTGTTCGATTCACGATTCAAATTACTTCACTCTCGTGACGTAATTTCGGGCTTAATGTTCATTGGTTAGTTGAAAGAGGCAACCGTAGTAAGTCTACGAACCGTAGTTAACCCTCCAATGGTGACCTACGGTCTGTGAGAGTACATTATAATGCGCTCCCTAACTTTCGCGTGATTGATTGGTGGGTGGGTCCCAATTTAAAAATTGGCGGGTTTCGTGTTTATTAAAATGACAATAAAATTGAGGTATTGTGGCACAGTATATCGCTAAACAATTTATTAGCACTATGTTGTGGTATTTGTACAAAGCGGATGATATTCACATTTTAGGATTAAGCTGACTAGTACAGTTTTATTAGAAATTAAAATTTATTTTTCTTTTGACATTATGTAGGTAAACTTAAAGTCAGACATTGTGTTTATTTAATTTTGATATGCTAGTGATGCTTTTTTTATTAGATTCATAGTTATTGTTTTAATTTTTTGTTTAGGTAATTTTTTATTAAGATTAATAAGATAAAGGTTTCTCTTATTATTTTTATTTCTAGAACATTCATTAGCATTATTATTCTCATTAGCTTTCTCTATGTGGAATCGGCTTCTCTAAATATTTTCCTCTAAACTTTTCTGTTCTCTTCCAGGGACTAAGTACCTCTCCGCTTTTTGTATGAGATTATGGTTTTTCAGAAACATGTAATTTCTGTTCATCCCCTTTTTTACTGCCCTACATTCAGTACCATTCATCATAGCTGGTCTAAAGGCAGTTGTACATGCATCATATTTAACCATCTATCTAGTTACCGCGATTCAGTTTGGTAGCGATTGTTTTAGGGTACGTACACGTGTTTCGGTCTCTCAAACCGTACGTCACTTAAGTCATATACGGAATACCAGACCGACGTCACCAAAGTTGGAGTGTTTTTTCATAAGTTAAGATAGTTTTCAAAAAATTATTATTGATAAATTTGAACCCTATTCGATTTATAACTATTAAACAAAAACTATACATTAATATCCTATAATAAAAACTATTTCAAGTTATTTTTATAGCAATATGCAACATTTGATTTTGACAGTAGATAACCCACTGTAATTTTTGTTATTTCATTCTGTCCAGTAAATCAACTTACCATTGCCTCATTTGCGGCCGGTAAATCGAACATTACAGTACCTGATACCGTAATGTGTTGCCTAGCAACCTTTTTAGAAAGCAATTACGTTGGTCGTGATTGGAAAGGATCCATCTAGTGACATTTTGATTTTATCTATTTGACAGTGGCAAGCAAATATTATTAAAACTGTCAAATAAAATTTTTAATTTAATATATTCCAAAATATTATAAATACAGAATGAAATAAAATATCATACGAAACACACCCGTTAGGTGTTATTACAGTACTCGTTTATATTCCAGACTCGGCTCTTATCGTCGCCTCGTCCGTAAAACAACTCGTACTGTAATAAGTCACCTACCGGACTTGTAACGTAATAGTATATTACATAACGAGAGTTGTAAGAAGCTTATTACATGCGAGTAAAAAAGTTGCGCGCGAGCCGCGTAGCGGCGAGCGCAGTAATTTTACAAGCACGTAATAAGCTTACAACTCAAGTTGTGTACTATACTTTTTCTACGATTATTCTCGTTTATAAAAATAAAAATTAAATTACCACTATATTGACACTGACAGATTAATAATTTTTAATCTGTCAAAATAACGTCTGCTAATTCGTTTCCATGGTAACTCGACCAACTGACTTACGAGGCTTATGTGATATTACACATTTTTATAAAACTGAAGCGTAATTTTTTTTATTACGTGTTAGTCATTACGTGTCAGTATCTGTTATGATGTATTTACTTAGCATCGAAATAGTAGGTAATATACAATTTACTAGTAAGAGAGTAGAAAAAATACTATTATTTGGCTTAGAAAAAAAAAATGAATTACGAGAAAAATGAACTGTAGTTACAGCAACTTCTAGTTGAAGTTTTGCCTGATAATGAGGAAGATTATGTTGAACAGAGAGATGGAGATTCCGAAAGCGAACAAGAACTTGATAATACAGAAGCTGAAAACGAAGAGGTATACACTGATAGAGAACACAATGAAGGAGGTACTGAAAAAGAAGATAATCAAAAGATATCCAACGAATCCAGAGCATATAAACGAGGCTCATTTTATATCGGAAAAGATAAAACAACACTTTGGAACAAACACTGTCCACCAGTGAAACTAAGATCCCATAGGACTCGATCGAAAAATGTTATTACTTAATTACCAGGTCCAAAAATTCCTACCTGAAATTTGACTGACGTTGTAGAAATCTGGAAAAAGTTTTTTGATGAGTTTGTTATTGGAACTATTGTAACATTTACAAATCAGCATATCGAAAAATTTGCCAGAGGAAAATATGCAAGAGAAACATATAAAAGGCCCACTGATGCTTTAGAAGTAGAAGCTTTGATAGGCTTGTTATACCTAGCTGGAGTAAAGAAGATAAATGGACTGAATTGTGATGAAATTTTCAGTACTAATGGGGATTCGCCTGAATTGTTTCGCTCGACGATGTCACAGCAACGTTTCCTGTTTCTTCTAAGACATCTTAGGTTTGATGATCAAAGTACAAGAGATGCTAGAAAAACTGTATATGAATAAACTGGCTCCAATTCGCGACGTTTTTCAGCAAGTGAATAAAAACTGCAAAAAAAACTTCAGCCTCTCTCATCACACAACGATTGACGAAATGTTGGTTGGATTTCGCGGAAAATGCTCATTCAGACAGTATATTCCTTCGAAGCCAGCCAAGTATGGCGTTAATATTTTTGCGTTAGCTGATGCTATAATGTTTTATACAGCAAATATGGAAGTGTATGTTGGCAAACAATCCATAGATTCTCCACACGCCGTCAGCAATTCCGCGATTGATGTGGTAAATAGGCTCGTTAAGAGCATTAGCGGAACTTGTAGGAACCTGACGACCGACAACTGGTTTACCAGTGTAGAGCTATGTGAAAAATTACTAAATGAGCACAAGTTAACACTTTTGGGGGCAATTCGCAAGAACAAGAGACAGCTACCAACACAGCTTTCAGTGGGCCAAGATCGACCAATTCCATCAAGTATATTTGCATTTAGGGAAAACTGCACTTTAGTGTCATATGTTCCAAAACCCAAGAAAAATGTCTTACTGATCTTTAGCATGCATGATGATGACCAGATTGTAATGAATATAAAAAAGTTGCTGAGTATTAATAAAAAGCTTACCTGTTTTTAATGTAAGGTTTTCCAAACAATATATTTTCTCTTACACTGGATACAAATAACCAAGGTTCTTGTGAAGCGTAGGATAAGTCTCCTGACACCTCTAATTTACCACTTTTAATTGGAAGTTCACCAAGTAACAATTGAAGCAATGAAGATTTACCACTACCCACCGTCCCCACCTAAAAATTGGTAAGTATATTTTGATTGTTAAGTTTATATTTAGACGATGTTGTAAAATTTCACCATCGTTACACAAATAAATAGTAATTCTAAAAATACCCAATTATCGAAATGCAGACAAAAAGGTTATAATACAAATACTAATGGCTCTATTCTAATGTACTTGTCCCGTGTAAGAGGCAAAATAAGGAACGACTTCATAATTTCTTAAATCGTGTAGCAATCTCTGCCTACTTCCGGACAGTTTTTAAATGGTAAATTATTATTATTATTATATATTTATATATAGATATATATATATATATATATATATATATATATATATATATATATATATATATATTACTAATATTTTATATCTACTTACATATTTATTTCATCACTGGACTATACCGGGTTTCTCATTACATTTTGACCTCCACTTATTTTCCTTAATTTCGGGAATACAAAAAAAGTTTCAAATAAAAGTTGTATTATTTTATCTGTACCAACCAACAATGTAGCAAGAATTTTATATACAGGGAGTGCCCAATAAAATGCATCTTCAATATTTTAAATAGGACACCCTGTATTTTTTTATAGTTTTGAGTAGCCCTGCATTTCCTGATTACCAATATATAACATTGTGTAGCATTAGTTTTGTTCTATAGCATTTTTCATATAAAAATGCTTGCAGGTCATTAAAGATTTATGACGTCAGAAACTCACATCGTTGCCAAAACATCAGAATAGTTAGTAAGTGAAGAATTTTTAAAATGTCAACTATTTGTCAATCTATTATATTAACAGTAAATACACTTACTTTTAAGACTACTGCAATACAATAAAATACATAAGAAAACATTTTAATACAAATTCAAATACAAATTTTAATATATTCTAAATTTTAAACTTATCTTAATACTTTGCTTTATTTTGAAGGTAAAAATTAAATATTTAAATAATGGATTAAATCCATAATAACATTTTTATTTTATAAAATTCCGTAACTAGTCCAAACAATGCTACTAATGCATTACAGAAAAGCCGTGCGACGATACATAGAGTTTTAAAAAAGCACAAGCATAAGCTCTACAAAATATTACCGGTACAAGAACTTACCGATGTTCATAAGAGAAAGCGTTTAGAGTTCTGTCAAGACATGCATACAGATTTGAACAATGATCCTAATTATTTTTATAACATTATGGACAAATGAACCAAATTTTTTAACTTCAGGTATCTTTAAAAGAAGAAATAGGTATTCGTGGGAATAGAAAACTAATAGAAAAAGAAAAATTAGGAGATAAAAAAGTCTGAAAATCAGGAAAAAGTCAATAAATAAATGTGTGGTACGGAATATTTCAGAACAAAGTGGTTGGACCATTGTTTTATGATTATAAATTAACTGAGAAATCATATTTGGACAGTCATTACAGAAATGGCTGAGTTAATAAATCAAAATTATACACAAAATCAATTAAATGTTCAAAAACATTTGAATAATAAATTTAATGTGTGGATCGGCAATAAGGGTACCATTACATGGCCACCAAATAGTCCCGACTTAACACCATGTGATAGGTTTGTATGGGGGTTTTTAAAAGAAAGAGTGTATGTTGATTCAAATACAAATATTAACACTATCTCGGCAAAAGTTTGCGCGGAAATAGAAAATTTAAATTGTCATAATAACACAATATTTGACGCATTAGAAAATTTGAGACGAAGATATTACTGGTACATTGAAAACAATGGAGGGCACTTTGAGCATCTATTGTTATTTTAAATGTAGTATTGTAAGTCATTAATTTTGTTGACTTTCCAAATATATATTTTTTTAAATATATTTTTTTTCTTATCTTAGTATACTATAGTAGTACCATACGCCATTATAGAACAAAACTAATGCTACACTATGTTATATATTTGTACTCATGAAATTCAGGGCTACTTAAAACTATAGAAAAATACAGGGTGTCCCATTTCAAATATTGAAGGTGCATTTTATTGGGCACTCCCTGTATACAAAATTTGATCTGTTGCTACATTTTTGGTCGGTACAGATGAAATAATACTTATTTAGAACTTTTTGTTGTATTTCCGTAATTAAGGAAAATAAGTAGGTGTCAAAATATAATGAGAAACCCTGTACATGTAATGTCATTAAACTAATCAAAATTTAAACTGTGCCACCTGCAAGTGAAAACCACCTAAATAATGCTTAAGGAATGGCACTTTTAACCATGTCATGAATTGGTTTTACTGGTAAGATTTTTTTACTTTAAGTAACCAAATAAAAAATAATCCAGAGGAATTAATTCGAAGGGTTTAAACAGGCTAAATACTCTGAACATCTTTTGTAAATTCTTTGTAAATATCTTGTCCACTGAACGTGCTCAAGATAATATATTTACTATTATAGTATATAGTCAATTAATGATTTCTCATTTCGACTTTTGACTTCTTTTATACTCGTGGATTTCCTTGTGTTTAAAAAATGTGTTACCTATTGCCATATCGTTTTTAAAGTGCAAAATTGTAGCAATCTCCTTTCATTGTTATTTCTGGTCACTTCTACAAATAGCCCTATATCTGTTTTGTTGATTTCGTCATTTATTCCGAGCTTACTGTTGAAATCGTCTGTAATGTATATTTCTTCTCTTGCAGCTACTGTTGCAAACGTTAAAATAACGTTGTGGACAACAAAATAAACCACGATAAATTCAATTGAGCGTAAGAAAATTTAACAATGAAACACTGTTCGAAAAATCTTATCACTACAGCAGTTTAGGTACAGTGTCTTTCTCAACTAATCTATTTTTGGTATGCATTTACACTTTATAGTCTTTAAAGAAATATGTTGAGGAGGGGAGAATTGTTTGTCTCAAGTTGATCATTTAGAATTATGTCTGTGTTTTTTAATTTGTTAATTTCCATAGATTCTAACAAAGATAGAATAATGCCTTTTGGATGTAAAGAATTTGAAATTCGTTGCTAAAAGAATGATTATGATCTAGAAGGTGAAGTGCGTATGTAGAATCTATTGTTTTGTTATTAAAAGCCCTTTCATGTTCTGCTATTCGCTTGTTGTGGTAGCGGGGAGATACTCTTTTACGTTCCCGGTAGAAGATAGATCTACTTCAGGGATGCGATCCTGCCCACGTGAGCCATAATTGTCTCCCAATATCCTGGTACCTGGGAGAAATTATGTCCTGAACCCATTCTCCTATCTAATTACGAAAGTTTCCATTCCTATATCCTACTCTGTCAGACAGTAGCATCAGTACCAAGATAGAGCGTAAGGGAAATGATCCTGGATCGGTATATTATTGGATACTAGAGCTGCTAAATTAACCGAACGATTACCGGTATAAGTAATCCCCCACCTGTTGGTCACCAGCTAAGGGTGGAAGAACCGACACGTGGTAGGGCACTTCATTGCCCTGCAGCATAGAAATTAACTCCGAAGGCGGAAGAACTAAATTAGTCAACGGCTTTGAGATGTGGAAAGCCAGGGGATGACTACCACATTAAAGATCCGTAAGGATATCCTTAGTAAAAATCATCATGGACCCACTAATGGATAATTTACTTAATGATCATGAAGCTCGAAATCCAAGATCCGGCAGGGAAGGACAATTAGATTTAGACGATAGGGCCTCTCTGGTCATCAACAAGGTAAATCCCTGTCAAGCAAATAACTCTATAGCCTTAAAAATCGGAATATGGAGCGTAAGAAGTTTATACCAATCAGGCAAACTGGATAATGCTGTGTCGGAAATGTGCAGAATGAAAATTAATATACTGGGCCTTAGCGATATACAATGGCCTGAATCAGGAAAACGTAAGACCAGAAATGGAACGATGTATTATTCTGGAAACAACGATTCCAAGCACAAACGGGGAGTTGGCATTATAGTTGATAAGAATTCTCAGAAAGCTGTCTGTAACTTTGTTTCCTACTTTGATCGAGTATTAATGCTGTCTCTAAACTCTCATTTAAAACGTAAAATAAATATAATCCAAGTATATGCACCCACTGCAGACAAGGATGAAGACACCATAGAGGCCTTCTATGAACAAATCGACAATGTCTTAAGACTAACTAAAAGACAAGATATAAATATTATATTGGGCGATTTGAACGCTAAAGTTGGCCAAGGAGAAGTGGAGAATTGCATGGGGCGATATAGACTCGGGGAAAGGAATGAACGTGGCGATAGGCTTGTCAATTTTTGTGTCAATGAGGAACTCATAATTACAAATACCTTGTTCAAACTTCCTAAACGTAGATTATATACATGGAGGTCACCAGCTGACAATAACAACAAAATGACCACAGAACAATAGCTTTAATGAGTCACACACTTAAAACATTTTTGAAAATAATTCACAGCAGAATTGTTAAAACACTTGAATATGAGATTAGTGACACACAATTTGGCTTTAGAAATGGTATGAGTACAAGAGATGCTTTGTTCGGCTTGAATGTGCTGGCTCAGAAATGCATGGATATGAATCAGGATATGTACTTATGTTTTGTAGACTTTGAAAAGGCATTTGATAAACTTCAACATAAAAAGCTTGTAGATATATTAAAAAGCAAAAATATTGACAGTCGTGATCTAAAAATTATATCTAATTTATATTGGAATCAAACTGGCAAGGTAAGACTTGACAGCCAGTACACCGAAAATATCAAAATACAGAGAGGAGTCCGCCAGGGTTGCGTGCTGTCCCCACTACTTTTCAATGTCTACAGTGAAGCGGTATTTCAAGAAGCGCTCTCAGACTCAATAGAAGGTATATCTATCAATGGAGAAGTTTTGAATAACTTACGTTCTGTAGACGATACAGTAATAATTACGGATAACAACAATGATTTACAGAACGTAATGCAACGCCTTAATGAACGCTGTCATGAGTACGGACTGAAGATAAATTTAAAGAAAACTAAATGCATGATCATGACTAAATCTGCACATCCAAATATCCAATTGACTATTTAAGATACTGCAATTGAGAGTGTTAATAACTATAAATACTTAGGAACATGGATAACATCAGATGTAGACCAAACCCAAGCAATTAAGGCACGTATTGAAATAGCACGTACATCATTTATTAAACTTAAAAAGTTTCTTTGTTGTCGGGATATAAGGTTAGAACTACGCCTGAGAATGCTTCGATGTTACGTGTTCTCTACTCTTCTTTATGGTTTGGAAGCTTGGACACTAAACCAAGTTGATCTGAATAAGTTGGCCGCCTTTGCATTTTGGTGTTACAGAATAATCCTACGAATATCATGGATTCAAAGAATGTCAAACATGGAAGTAACTAGAAGGATAGGAAATGAGGCGGAAATAATATTAACTATTAAAAGACGAAAACTTGAGTACTTGGGGCATGTGATGAGAGGGCAAAAATACGCATTATTGCAACTTGTTATGCAGGGCAAAATCCGAAGAAAGCGAAATGTGGGAAGACGAAGAATATCCTGGCTTAAGAGCTTAAGGGAATGGTTTGAATGCAGTAGTGCAGAACTTTTTAGAGCGGCAGTCAACAGAGTCCGCATAGCCACGATGATTTCCAACCTTCGATAATAGATGGAGCTTAAAGAAGAAGAAGAATTTGCTTGTTAAAATTTCTACCAGTTTGACCAATGTAAGCTTTTGGGTAGTCACCACATTTAAGTTTGTATTCACCACTTTGGAAGTGCTTTTTATTTTGACTCTTGTTGTTTTTAATACATTTGCATAAGTTATTGTTTGTTCTAAAAGCTGGTATTATTCCTTTCTTTTTTATGTGTTTGGCTATTTTTGTTGATATTTTGCCTATAGATATAATATATATAGATAGATTTTAAGTAGAAGGTACTGGGTTCTCTGCTGGTTGAAATACCAATTTCATGGCTTTCTCGTGTAGTTGTTGATTTAAAATTTTAATAATTGTTTGTTCATTGTACCCATTGTTTACTGCTATTTGCTTAATGGTATTTAATTCTATCTCGAAGTTGTATTTTGACATCTGAATTTCTGTTAATCTATGTAACATGCTATGATAGGTTACCAGTTTATGTTGTGTGGGATGGAATGATGAATTGGTTTATGAAATACGAAAGAACTGATGTTTGTCTGATAATTTTTAAATCTAACAAATTTATGGATTGATTATGTTATGTGTCTATTGTAATTCAATATGAGTATGAAGTGAAAGAATATACGATAAAAATTTGCCGAGTTGTCTGTTAGTTCCTGTAAAACATACGAGTAGACATAATTTACGTATCTCCACCCATATAAAAACTGTTTGCAAAATTTCGGATGTAATGATTCAGTTTTAATATTATGGTCTAAAAGATTATTTACTAGAACAAAAGTTTCTATCGGAGAAATACTACGAAAAATGTTTTTTCCATCAAATTAAATTATTCTGGAGATTTTAGACAATTGAAAATGTTATTTTTTATTAACTAGTTCTATTATGTTATTTATGGTTAATTTAGATGAAAATTTAGTGTGTTTTAAAATAATGTATAAGAGTTTTTTTGAAAGTTTATATGATGGAGCTGTAAAAAAGAAAACAGGTCTTATTCGTTGATCCGGTTTGTGTAGTTTACTAAAAGAGTCTAATTTAAGAGGCTGCGGGTTCATGATATTGAGGTATTTCTGTATTATTGAACTTACTATTGATTTTGAATTTTAGTTAGTTCATCAGAACATCTTTAGTTACCTAACTACTACAAATTAATTTCATTTGACGTAAAAATAATCTTTTTCCTAGTATTCCTCCTGCAGAATTTTTTTTTCTAGTAAAAAACATTTTAGACCATAATATTACAAATCCGATCATTATATTCGAAATTTTACATCTTGAAATTTGCATAAATTAGGATTACTTTAAATTTAATAATTAAATATATACAAATAACAGTGTATGACTTATAATGAGTAATCCTCTAAGCCTATTGCTATAAGATAATGGATCATCTAGAGACAAAGATTTAAAAATATTCATTATTCAAACAGTTTTTATATTGGTGGAGATCTGTAGACGATGTGCTGGTATGTTTTACAGGAATTAACAGACAATTCGACCAATTTGTATCGTATATTATTTCACTTCACAGTCATACTGAGTTTACAATAGAAACAGAACAAAATCAATCCATAATTTTTTTAGAACTTTAAATTACCAGATTTAAAAAAAAGCATGAGTTCTCCGTATTTCATAAACCTACCCATAGTGACACGACTATACACAATTCATCATCCCAACCGACGCAAAATAAATTGGCAGCCTATCATAGCATGTTACATAAATTAACAGAAATAAAGCAAACAGCAGTAAACAATGGATACAACGAACAAACAATTAATACAATTTTAAATCCAAAAATGACACAAGAAAGGCCTGAAATTAGTATTTGCACCAACAGAGAAAAATCCCAGTATCTTCTGCTCAATTACATATACAGGCAAAATCTCAACAAAAATAGCCAAACACATAAAAAAGAAAGGAATAACACCAGCTTTTAGAATAAATAACAACTTAAGCAAATATATTAAAAACCACAAGAGTCAAAATAAAAAGCACTTACACAGTGGTGTATACAAGCTTAAATGTAGCGACTGTCTAAAAACTTACATCGGTCCAACTGGTAGAGATTTTAATAAACGAATAGCAGAACATACAAGGGCTTTCAATAATAAAAAAAACAGATTCTACGTACGCACTTCGCATTCTAGATCATAATCATTCTTTTATTGACAAATTTTAAATTCTTCACATCCATAATAAAAGCCGTAAACTATCTTTGTTAAAATCTATAAAAATTAACAAATTCAAAAATACAGACATAATTGTGAGTGACCAACTTAAGACAAACAGTTCTTCCCTCCTTAACCTGTTTCGTTAAAGACTATAAAGTGTAAACGCATACCAAATATAGACTACTTAAGAAAGGAAATCTGCCGAAACAACTGAAGTGATATGATTTTATAATAAATTTTGTGAAAGTTTTAAAAACAAAGTTTTCAGTGTTTTATTGTTATATACCTAAAATAAATTTCCATCAAGTAACGGTTGATCCATCACTTATGTAAGATAATATCTTGGGAACAGGTTCATTGGAAAAGTATTTACAAATAGTCAGAGTTGTTATCCTATTAGTAACCCTAATTAAACTGCTGTAGATTAGTTTTTCTTGATTACTTAAAATAAAGCAAACTTAACTGCAACTGAGGTGTTATTTTCTAAGCACTTATTTAAGATATGTTTCTGTATTAGCAATCAGAGCTACACAGATAATTAAAATATTGTCTTTGTTCTATGTTCCTTTTATCCTTGTTCCTCGCTGTTTTTTTCTCGAAGACATCTTTGATCGATTACTTACGGAACTTTTAAGATTATTTATTTTCCTATCTAGATCTAGAGCGCGGCCCATGTAGCTTAAAAGTAAGTGTGTCCGTCTTTTGTGCAGAATAATGTAACCTTCAAAGGACCTGGCAAACCACTACCACCACAAACCATTAAATTAGTAATATGTCTAGTAGAGCTCCTCTGCACTTGGTCGTTCATATGTAACGATTAAATGTGTATTATGTATATCTGCGTACACATATATATGTAGAAGAGATGTCTACGCTCAACATTATGTACGTGAAACGTTGTTAGAGCCTAATATTGTTAAATAAACTGTTTATATGCAAAATACCATATAAGCATTGCGATATATCCGTAAAAACTGTGCAAAAAGTAGTTTTAAAAATATATAAAATTATTTCTCTGTTACTCACCACGCAACATAGTTTTCCTGAAGGCAATTTTAGATTCAAGTCACTCAAAGTGTCCTCCTTCAAAGCTTCATTCCACGTAGCACAAGCTTCTTTTGCTTGTATGGTTCCTATTTGCTGAATCACAGTATTTTGAATCTGAACAGTATTTTCTTCCAAAAGTAAAAACTTTTCGAGTCTTCTTAAAGAAACCTTAACTTCGGCGTATCCAGCCAATGCATATGGAAACATGATGCAACTGTATAATTGTAAGGAATTGTACAATTGGGCGCTAAGGAAAACTTTGTCAGCCGTTAGTTTGTTTCCTAGCAGAACAAATGTTATCACTGTCAGGTATAAGGCAACTCTCTCAGTTACTACTATGAACGCAAGTGACAATCCCTTAATAGCTGACGTTTTAGATATTAAACTTACTTCTGCACTAAAAATTGAAACTGTTAAGTTAGAACGTGTTTAGCATACAATCTTCTGTTGACATTTATTGGTGAAATTAAAATTTTCGATCAAGTAGTAGCATTAAGAATTAGAAGACTTTTTTAGGTTATCTTTTTTAAAATTGATGGCTGATTTGTGTGTTTTGTTGTTTAGATGTGTGTAAAGTTAGATTATATGTTTGTGTACTGTGTGTTGCATATATATAAATATATATATATATATATATATATATATATATATATATATATATAATTATATAGAAATAGTATAATAAAACCTAGAGCTAAGAGTAATATATATATATATATATATATATATATATATATAATATATATATATATAATATATATATAATATATATATATATATATATATATATATCCGCTATTTAGATGGCACACACCCTTCCGGTAGGGACCTATGGAGGACTATCACCGAACCAAAAGCCCTTATCTCTTGCCGTACTGCTCCACCATAGGCCGATCAGATACCAGCATATTCTAGACTAAGCCGTAGATTCATTTAGAATTTTAACTGCTGCGTTAGCCTTTTTTGTTTTCTGTACAACGAGCTGGGAACTGAATTGACATCTCTCGCATTAAAGCGAAGGAGAAGCCAGCCTCCCAGCCCGCTTGGCTGTCCGATCGACTAAACCAAGTTAAAAACTAAGCTAAGATTAATATTATTAAAAAAATTATTATGAAACTCACCAGTCTTCCGGTTTGAACCGCGCCAATATCTATTGGTCACTGTTTACTTCCCTATCACTAAACAATCACTACTTACATACTAAGTAGTGGTAGTGAAGTGAACAGTGACAAGTGTAGTAGTGTCTGGGGACTCGGGAAACTGAGACCTCGGAAGCCATGAAGAAGACATTAGATAGGATGTCGAAAGCTCGGCCCAATGGATATCGACGTGGTTCAACCCGGAAGAATGGCGAGTTTAATATTAATTTTTGTAATAGTATCTTAGTTAGTTCTAGGTTTCATTGTACTAACAACGGGAATCTTTCCGAACTTATATATATATATATATATATATATATATATATATATATATATATATATATCTATATCTAAAAGTCAAAGAAGTAGCTCTCATCCTACTTAATAAGTTCAATTCAGCCTAGATAGTTGAACCCCTATCCAAGGCTTAGCGTTGTGTAATTTAAAACACCTGAGAGCCGGTAGAATTGTCGACGATAAACCTGGATTTCTTCGTTGAATTTAAATTCAAAGACAGCACATTTATTATTGAAAACAGCTTCCAAATTCTGAAACTTCTTTTTACCCATTCAAATTTATGTAAGTCACAAATGTATTACGCTTCGCCAATATTAAACCGACTATTGAAAAATCATAGCCCATAACTATAATAATAATTTATGAATCAAACATTACTTTAAATAAGTGATGGATTCGACAGTTATCAACTTATGCCAAACAGCTCTTATCTCCTCAACTTATTTAGTTAAAGACTAAGAAATGTAGATGCATAACCAAAATAGCTCACTTGAGAAAAGCACTCTTCAGAAACAGCTGTAGTGATTAGTAGCCTATTTTTTGTGTTAGCCTCTTCATATAAACGTATGTAAAGTTTCATTTCAATCTGTCAATTCATTATCTGTTTCTTCTTGTTTCTGTCTCTGTTTCAAAGTTGGCGATCTATGCTGGCAATTGTGGTTTTGGAAACTGCTGCGCGACAGATTTCTGCGGATAAACGGTTGAACCATCTCCTCAGATCTTCCAGCCATGAGTTCTGGCGTCTTCTTAGAGATATTTTGGCCTGTACTTTTTCCTCCAGTATAACTTAAAGTAATTCATATTTTTTGCCTCTTAACTCATGACCCAAGTATTGCATTTTCCTCTTTTTGATTATTTTTAGTAATTCTTTTTGTTTACATATTCGACGAAGTACCTCAACATTAGTAACTCTTTGTACCCATGGTAACATTCATCTGTATATATACATATTAAAGGCATATATTCTTTTTTTTATTTCAGAGTCCATTGTCCAACCTTACAGCCATACAGTAAGACAGAAAAAACGTAACACCTGATCATTCGGATTCTAAGCTGCAGACTAAGGTCTGATCTTGTAAAAAGTGTTTTCATGCTCATCAATGTTTTCCTTGCTTATTCGATCCTTGATAGTAGTTCTTTTTTTGAACTACACTGACTATTGATATTTGCTCCCAAATATTTTATGGAATTTACCTGTTCTATCATTTAACTCTTGTCATACATATGTACGTTTATTGGTCTCTTTAAAAATACTAAAGTTTTAGTTTTAGAAACGTTTAGATGTAAACCGAACATTTCTCTGTGGTGAACTACCGCATTTATTATATTTTGTAGTTCTTGTGCGTTGCTTGCTATTAAGACAGTATCATTAGTATATTATAATGTTGTTTATGCTGAGTCCGTTAATCCTAATTCCGCCCTGGACCTGGTCTAAAGCTTATCTGAATATAGACTCCGAATACAAATTAAACAGTAGCGGTGATAAGACGCAACCCTGTTTCACTCCTCGTCGGATTTGTATCTTTGGATGTTGTATGCTCTATTTCAATTGTTGCTGTTTGGTGCCAGTATAGTTCTGAGATAATTCGCAATTTTTGTTCGTCAACTCCAGTTTTTCTCAGAATTTTGATCATCTTTTGATGGATAGTCCATAAAACATGCATATACATCTACATTCATGTCTCTGCATCCTTGCGTTAACACATTTAAAGCGAAAAGAGCCTCTCGTGTTCCCAATCCGTTTCGAAATCCGAATTGAGTGTCACTCATCTGGACCTCGCACTTCTTGTAAATTCGTGTATGGATAATTCTGAGAAAAGTTTTAAGGACATGAGACATCAAGCTTAATATTCGATAATCATCACATTGTGAGAAATTTGAACTTTTTGGTAATGCTACGAATGTTGATTTTAGCCAGTGTGTTGGTATTTGACCTGTGTTATTATATCTTATTGAATAGTGCTGTTATTAAGTTTAGGCTTTTACTTTCGTTATCTGCAATTAGTTTTAGTATTTTGACATTGATATTGTTTGGACCGGTGGCTTTTCCATCTTTCTGTGATTTTACTGCGTAAATCACTTCTTCTTTGGTTATTTCTGGGCCTTTTTCATTTATTCGATTATCTGTGGATGGTGGAGAACAAGTTCTATCGTCGTTAAAAAGAGTTTGTGTGTATTCTTTCCATATCTCTGATTTGTCTTCTGTACCCATAATTATTTTGTTATTATCATTTTCTAATATTGGTGCTTGTCTATTTTTGCGTCTACCTGCAATTTCTTTTACTTTTTTATGGATATTAAAGGTGTCGTATTTTTCCTGAAGCTGTTCGATTTATAGACATTTTGTTGACATCCAGTTTTATTTCGCCTCTCTGCACTTTTTTCTAATGATTTTATTGATTAGCTTATATTCTATTTGGCTTGTTTTATGTTTTCGCCTTACATCCATGAGGTTCATGATCTCCTGCGTTAGAACACAAGATGGACGATGAACAAGACGTCTTATGGAATGGAGGACCAGAAACTATAATAGAAGCCGAGGACGACCACCGACCAGATGGACCGATGATATAAAACGTGTAGCGGGAAACTGACTACAAGCGGCCCAGTGTAGAGAACACTGGAAAAACTGAGGAAGGGAAGGCCTATGTCCAGCAGTGGACGCGATTGGCTGATTGATGATGACTCTATCATTTAGAGGGATGAAGTCTGTGACTGATTGAGCAATTTTGTTCGAAACTAATTCTCTGTTTACAATACGTTTAATGTCGACATGTCACAGTATGACAATGAAAAAAATCAAGTATCTAGCAGTGATTTATAAACGAATGTGGAAAGTATATAAGAAATATTTGCCTTTAATTAGTACCGTAACAGAAACAACAGCAGATAGCATATTGCAAAATCATCGAGTAACTAAAAGAGATTTAGTAGAAGCCCTAGGCATCTTATTGGGCAGTGTAAACAATATTTTGACTAAAGTATTGAGTTTCAGAATGCTGTGTTCACAATGGGTGCTGCATTTATTAACAATTGAACAAAAACACGTTTGAGTGCGACTTTCTCAGAAACATTTAGAGCGTTTTCGACAGGATATACTTTATCCTTTTTTGATTTTGTACGTCGATTCATTACTATTGATGAAACTTGGGTGTAATACCATGATCCTGAATCAAGACATAAGGCTAAAGAATGGTGTTAAAGAATTGAAGATATTAGAAGAAAATGTAACCACAGAAAATAAACACATAAACAAAATGGTTGAGACCATGGACGTATAAACATAGATGGACACAGCAATAAGATACCTTTAACACACAATGTTTTGAAGCTTCGATAGAATGTGATGCTTCTGCAATGAGCATAAGCGTGCTTGAATTTTTACTCGCCGGTAATTATTCAAATTTTAAAAATTGGAAGTAGTAATAATATATAAAAACACGTTCAAAGAATTAAAAAAAAACTAGAGTTTAACTATTAACAAATCACGTCTTTATAGAAAAATTAAAATACAATGTTATTTGCTTTAAAATTAATACAATTAAATATAGTTTTCAAGTTTATTTTTTAATAGGTATCAAAATAATGCTACAATAAAAAATCTTCATGTTTTCTCCTAAATTTGATACCCAAATAGTTCGATTTTCGATATTATTTGGAAACTTACATAGAAAAATAAATGAGTTTTATTCATTTCACTAATTTATTTGTATCCATGAGAAATATTAAATTAAAAAGGTACTAAACAGATCTTTTTTAATCAGATGATGTCTACTTACAATTTAAAAACGTCTACTAATTTCATAAACTTATATCTTATTCAATACATTAATGAACATGAATAAACCCAATGGTACGCCTATTAAAATGTAAACAAACACGCTTCCTCTTTTCCTCATCTTAAATAATGTAAATTGTATGTACTTACAAATGAAATGAGAGATCGGGATGTAAATATTTC